CCATGCTTACTAGCAGGCCACCCTCAGGTCCCCGACCATCTCCCTCACATTCCATTCCACCTCTGCAAGTCCAGCATCACTCAGCACAGCTATTCAAGATCAGCATCTACACGCTTGTCTGGTTCCTTCAGCTCTAATGGTGGCCCAACCTCAACATGTACTAGCATAGCAGAGAGCCTGATACTCATCCAGGAACAGCCTGCTGCTTCAGGGACAGCAGATTGTCACCCTTTTATTCAGAAAGTTAATAGTCCCAACGATAGTATCAAGAACGGTGACAATAAACTTTTCCTTAGAACACCAAACAGCAAATACCTTAGCTTTGCAGGGATGGAAGCTTTTTATCACAACCACTCAACTGAGAAGTCCACAGTGGAGTATGGGAAGGCCGTGGAGCTTCCAGTGACACTTCAGAAGCAGGCAGTGAACTTGGTTTGGTCCATGTCTACCCTAGGGAAGAATTTGCTCACTTCTGGTGCTAAACCTGATGTTTGGTTTAAAGAGCCACAGGAAGACCCCATATTTGACCCTGAGACCTTATTGGAGATTGCCACCCCTCAATCTATCTGACCTCTGGGGATACAAAACTGTGCCTCAGGACAGTGAGAGTCAGTGACCCCTTCTTGTATCTACAGGAGATGAACGGTAGCCACTTTTAGCCTTAAGGACCTGTAAAGGTGACATCTGGAGAAAGACTTACACTGCAGATTGGGAGACAAACCCTTCAGTTTTCCTGGGGACACTTGACCATTCTCACATGAGATACAAGACCAAGTATGAGAAAGGCCATATGGACACAGGCCGGGGTAGAACCGCAGGGCCACAGGTCAAGGATATTTAGAGACACTATGAGCAAGAAAAGGCAGTGAGCCTGTGGCCCTGCCATAGTTGACCTCACACTTCTGCCCTAGACATGCAAAGGGACGAGCTCTGCTGCTCGAAGGCAGTTTGTGGTACTCGGATTTCCAAGGTACAGGAACCTAACACAGGCTTCAGAGCAGTGTCTTCATTTTCAACAAAAATAGTACAGGACGGCATTTAACGCTGCGGGCGGGGCTCCTGAGCTGGCTACAGGAGCCACAGCCACCGCTGGGGTCTTCAACCTCTGGCATATGGCTCTGTGGGTCTGGGGCAGAGAGGCAATTGGATGGGTGGATGAAAAGGGCTCCCTCGAGACATCCAGATGTCCCACCCTTATCCTGCTAATTCCAATTCTGTCACCCTGTCCTGTCTCCTAGGAACCTGAACCAATGGTAGAGACACAGGGACATACAGCTAACTTTTGGCATAGTACTATGTGGAAAACAAGAACAGAGACAACCTGAGGATAGGCGAGGCCATCCCGAGTGTGTGCGCGGGGTAGGGGGAATGGGACTTCTCGGGGATGAGCAAATAAATGAACACTCAGGGACCAAGCTTAGCAGTTCCACGGGGAACAGTCAGAACAAATGCCCAGCGGTGTCTATGAACACCAGAAGGGCCAGAGGACAGGAGAACCAAGCCACAGGTAAGTGAGCCAGGAAGGCTTAGTGCCCAGAAGTTCGTACTGAGCACAGACGGCTGGCCCAGCCTTGGCTACTGGATAGAGAACCGACTTCCAGGGACAGCATGGCTTCAGACACTCCTGCCCTGTCCCATTAAGGGATACCGTGGGCCTGGGCTGGACGGGGGCACAGGAAGAGGATGCCTGGGGAGGACTTTCAGGGATGCAGCTGAGACTGGGGTCTTTTCTAGATGGACGTAGCTATGAAGCCCATTAACACTGCATAGCCATGCGGGCTGGCAGCTGGAAGGCATCTAAAGATGTAAAAATAACCATGGGGTTGTCATGAGCTCATTGAGGCCTTTTAGCCAGGGCCCAGGGCCACACAGAGGGCAGGAGGAACAGGCAGAGCTGCAGCCTCTGGGTGGAGGGACACACCTCAGGGAAGACAGAGTGATCGGGGCCTGGGGGAGGACAGGGAGGGTAGAGCTGGGAGGAGGTAGAAGAGAACCACCAAAGCAGCTGTGGGGCAGGTCTAGCCCTGGAGGTCACAGTGACCTTGAAAGCAGTAACTAACCCTGAGAAGTGATGTGGCTAAAAGCAAGCAGCAGTCTGAGATCACCCTGAGCCTGAGGACCCACAGAGACAAGATGGAGTGGGAGGCCCCAGGCCAAAGGTTTTCTTAGGAAAGATATCATGTTTACTGCTCCAAACAGGAGAGGGAGACACACAGACATAGGTGTGCCCAAGAGTGTGTGGCTGGGGCTTGGAGCTGAGGCCCAGGCAGGACAAGGCCCACCCCTGTCCTCTTCCTGGCAGATGTGGGAATACCCAGGCAAAGACCAACCTAGAATATCCAGCTAAGTACAAAGATACCCAAGGAAGATGTGGCTGCCTGGGTCACAGCACAGGAGCTGGATCAAGCCTAGACCCAGGTATTCCTGTTCCCTGTGATGTTCCACAAAGAGAGGGGTCTAGCTGCCATCCTGCCCTGCCCTCAGCCTTGGGCTGAGGTGTTACACCCTCCCACTGGGAAGAGGCAGAGATCTAGAAAACCCAAAGTCAGAGGTGCCAACTCAGGAAATATTGGGTCACCAACCATGGGGTCTCAGTCTTACTGAAATACACCTGCCATTATCAGAGCTACCAACTTTGAGGTTAGGGTTTCCTGAGCCCTGGCTGGCATGGGACTTCAGCTTCAAGGCTCCTGTCCCCGTGTATGGGCTTGAGATCTCTGCTGTCCTCATGAGCAGTGGGTGGGGTATTCATTGCACCTCTCTGAGACAGTCATGCCTAAGGACGGTGCTGAGCTAGGGACCCCTCACCTTCTGGAATAAAGGGCAAGGCTCTGGGGAGAGACAGGATCTAAAACTCCCCTCACCCCTATGTTTGGACTTGGCTTCTCTGCCAGATTCAGAACATGGGCCCCTCCTAGTGGATTTCCCAAGCTGGATAGAGTCCCTGAAACAGCCCACACAGGAAGCAGCACATTGGTACCCTCAGAATACTGCCCAGTCGTCTATAACCACTGCCGAGGACCCTCCATGGGCTGTCTGGAGAGCTCATCAAGAGACCACACCACAAAAAATGGGGTGAGACCCAAAGTTCTGGTCTCAGTGAGTCACTGGCCAGGACAGAACCAGAGCACCCCCTCTCCTGAAGTCCCCAGAGAGGGGACCCAGATGTATATCCTTCACCAGGCATGCAGTCCCACTCTAAAATCCCACACTGAGACAGGCCTGGTGGGAAGCGGGGAACTATGGCTCGGCAGCTGTGCTGGGGGGCACTGCTTTACCTTTTTGTTTAACCCTTTCCTTCCACCAGCTCACACTGCATACCAGAAATCTAGCACTGTAGAACACACCTCTGATCAAAAATTTTCTCCTTTTCTGCCAGCTAAATCCTTCCTACAGGACAGTTGCCAGTGTTGGCAGTACACACATGACAGAGGGCATGCTGACAAAGAACTCTGTGCTCCTGGCCCCTCTCAACTACCTCCCATGAGCCTCCACAAAGGAAGTCACGATTTTAAAGCTGAGGACCCCTTGGTTTCTCAGGACAAGAACACAGAGTTGTTCTCGCCTTTCTGTACTGGATCACCAGAGTCCAGACCACAGGTCCTCAAGGACACAGGTGTCAACCTCCGTCTAGACAGAGGGAGAGAGTGGGGTAGGGAAGAGACAGTCTCCAGTAGGATAAGATGGGCAGGTGGGAGGAGAAAGTCACAGTGGGGGTGGGGGCTATGGGCTCTGTAGCTCAGGCTCAGGATGGACAGGCCCAGAGAGGCAGGGCCACACCCTCCACTCTTGACTCAGTCACCTCCTACCCCTAACTTATTCCAGTTTAACTTCAGAGCCCCAGCCCACCCCTGAGGACCTAGCACACAGGAAGCTCTCTGATCCCAACAGAGTTGGTGAGCACACTTGAGGATTCTGTCCGGGATGGACCTCACCCCGTAGTCTTCCCTATGACCCCCTCACCAGCCAGACTGGCGCACATGGACCACAGCTAAAAAGGCACTTAAATTCACTGTGGACTTTACTTCTCTACTGTTCCATCTGGCCCCCAAGCCTGGCAGGGTCCAGGGTCCCTTCCCCTCCCCGGTTTCCAATCATCCTCTCTCTGATACCCTGGAATGCCAAGGACGAGGACCCCCCAGGCTTTGAGCCACAGAAAGTCTGGGCTTGAAGGATTGAGTGAAGACATGGAGGAAGCTGAGATCCAGGCAAAAGTCCACGAAGGCAGCTAGTGTCACCCCTCCTGGGAGCTGACAGGCACCAGCATCCTGGAAGTCACTCTGGCTGCCTGTACGCATGTGATACTGCCACACACACGACCCCACCCAACTTCCCCTACAGACCCCTGGGTGCCTGGGCCAGCTCCAAGGCACCTGTCTCCTGAAACAGCTGCAGTCCCAGGCCGGAGCTGCAGAGCTGCCCTGGCTCCTTGCTGGCTCTCCTCATACTGAAGGAAGCAGACCCTGGAACCACTTTCTTTTCCCAGAAGTGTGTCTCCCCCAAACAAAGTAAAGGTCCTGGGACACAGAAGTAGGGCTCTTCCTACCTGGCAGCCCACCTTTTCCCTACCTGAGAGTGTGGGATTGGGGAGGGGTGGCACTGCCTGGGATGCGGCTTGGAAATTCCTGGTACATTTTCACCAGGACACCTATGTCGCCTTGGCACATTCTGCCGGTTCCTCCATGGGGAGAGCTGCAGACCCTCTGGACTTCTGCTAGTCCAGGAAAGGGGTTGACCCACACAGGAGCTGGAACCCCCCAACAACAAACTCGGGGACAGGTTAGGGCTGTGTTGCGGGTGGCCAGGTCCCAGGGTCCGGGCGCCGGAGAGGCTGCGACTCTCCGGTTACCGCCGCGGGGCCGGGTTTCAGCGGCTCCCCCACGGCTATTTCGGGCGAGCTGGCACCTCAGCCACGCGTTGCAGGACCGGCAGGGTCCCGATGGCTCGCCGAGACCCGCCACCCACCGCCCCGCCGCCCCGCCCGTGGCCCGGCAGCTCACCTGCCACCGGTGATGGCTTGCGCAGCACCAGCCACCTACTCTTCCACTGCGGAGACAGGACAGAGTGAGAAGCCGGACGCGCGCGCCCGCCCCGCGCCCCCGCCCCCACCCGAGCGCGCCCCCGCCCCGCGCCCCCGCGGCGCCCCAACCTTCTTGCCGTCCCGCAGCTTGACCTGGCCCTCCACCAGCGCTGCCTCGGTCATCTTCTGTCATGGTTCCCGCCGCCCGCTGCGCCCTCTCCACGCGTCCCGGGCGCCTGAGCCCAGGGTCACTTTCAAAATAGCTCCGGGAGGGCCTTGGGCCGCGCCAGGAGGGCGGGCCCCGGCGCGGCGGGCGGGGCACAGTGATACGGGGACCTGGATGCGGGGGAGGCTGGGCGGGGCACCCCGGCCTCGGTCTTTAAGAACCTAGCAAAGTGCAAGCCAGTAGGTGGCAGTGGCCTTGGGCAGCCTCTGCACTCAGCTGGCTGCCAGCCTTCACTGTCCCTGCCAGGTCTCAGGACCACTGCTTAAGACCACTTGAAGCAGCCTCTGGGGAACGAAACTCAGCCTGGGAGCAGGGAGGGGGGAGAAACTGGTACAGGGGCAGTTTCCCAAAGGGAAGGAAATTGTCCCAAGACAACCCCACAGAATGCTTTCTGGCCGTTTGCCTGCTCAGTTCGTTTTAGTTTGGCATCAATGGCTTTATCCTTTGCACCTGCCCTTCCCCCATCTCATGGAGCCACGAGGCATCCCTGACAACAGACGAACCTAGAACAGCCAGGCCCAGTACATTCCCTAGTCCCTAGGCCTTCCCCATCACCAGAGGTGGCCACTCTCCAGGCAGATAGGGGAGGTGGCCATATCCACTCTTCAGGTCACAGTCCTTCCCATTCAACGAGTATCTGGCTGAACAGATCTCTGTGGCTGCCAGGACCAGGGCACCTCATTGCCCCAGGTCTCCCTAGCTGGTCTCTCCTACTTCTGAAGACCAGCTTGCACTGGCCTTATAGCATGGAGGGCCTAGGAGGCTATGCTGCCTGGTAACAGCCTTGCCTAGTATACCCCTGCCCAGCCAAATGCCCTCTGAGCCTCTGGATTTCTCTATCTCAGCCTGTTGCTCAGGTTAAGAATGCTTAAGGCCTGTGTTGAGTTTTCTACAGCCACCAAAGGTTACCGTGGAGCTTAAGTGCTATGTTAGGTCTCTGTCGCAGACTCCCCAGACACATGACTTAGCATCCCAGGAAACAGAGAACACCCACAATTGGCAACTAACTGCATCTAGCAAAATAAACTCAGACAAGCGATGAAGTCCTATGCACTTGCCCATCCCGATCCCGAATCCCAAGGAGCTCTGATCCAGGTAGAAAGGGGCTGCCTGTCAAACTGTATTCTGTTCATGCAGGGCGTGCTAGTCTTCAGGCTGCTTTCTATCCATCCCATACAGAGAAAGTGAGGTGTCGGGACTCATGGCCAGAATTGACCCACACAGACTGACCCCAGAGCAGGACTCAACCTGAGAGCCCTTGCCACAGCCCCTCTAAGGAATCTGGAGGGCAAACTTTAGGTGGCCCATAGGGCTGATTTTAATGTTTTCCTGGTTTCTTGCTGGGGAAAGGGTACCAGGTCTAGGAAGGACCTCTGTATGCTTCTCACCCTCTACCCTGCATCACCAGTGCGGCACACCAGTGCCTTCTACTGAACAGTTGCTGGCCACAGAGCCCCATTCATACTACCCACACATTGAAGGCCCCTGGGGACTGGCTCAGGACAGCCGGTGTGGAGTCAGTTGGGGGTTATAGCCATGAGCACATCCGCCAGCCCAGGCGCCTGGCACTTGCTCTTCCCTTCAGGGAGGGGCCTCGTCCTGCTGCATTCCAAGAGCTGGCTTTGGCCCAAACTCCAGCCACGCCTGGCAGCTGCACCTGCTCCCGCACTGGCCCCGGAAATGCGGGCGCCATGGGGATAGACAGCTTTATTCTCCCACTCCACATGACCTAGAGTACAGAACTGTGGTCACCAAGTCTGCCAAAAGTCAGCCAATGGAGTACGTAGTCTGGCCTTGTCACAAGAATTCTTGTGACCTTGGCCCGCTTTGTGCCTCAGTTTCCCCATTTGTTACAACCAGAGTTGCTGGGGCTCTACATGATGAAACTCTTTCTGACCACTGAAGCAGCTGACCAGGAGGATGTTAAGCCTTTTGAAGAATCAAGGTGACAGCTGGAAGGAGTGGGATGGCAGGAAGACCCAGTCACATGTGAAACAGGATGACACTTAGCCCTGCATCCCTGCCTGGCACCACTGGACACTGGACACCAAAGGAATCTTCCAGCTGTGGTCACAGCTGCACCACTGTCTGAGCTCACTGCCACAGTGTTGTTGGCTCCACACTGAGGCCAGCCAGACTGCTGTCACCACACCCATGACCTCAGGATGCTGCTGTCCCATCAGTGGCTCTGCAGCCACAGACCTCTGTGAGATGCTGTACTTGCCACCTACCAGGCAAGAGCATGTACACCATCACATAACCTCTGCTTCCTGCTGCCGCCTGGCTTTGATGCCAGAGGCTTTCAAATGATCAGTCTGTACACACAGGGGAGGGTGGAACTAGGGGGCCTGCGTGCCTTGGCATCTCAAGGTAAATGGAAATGCTGGACAGATACACCTTAGAGGGCTGCCGCAGGCACCAAGCCCCATGTCTACCGATTCACACCCCTGTTATCCCACCAATGAGGGAAACAGTACAGATGACTCTAAGAAGTGTTGAGTGAGTAGAGCCAACTACCACTTCTGAGCCCAGCCATTACACAAACTATACTATCATGCAAACATTTGTCACTAGTCACATGATGAGAGGACGGTTATTATGGACTGGATCTCCCACCCCCAGCTCCCCAGGCATTTGCTGATGGTCTCACCCCCATGTAACCATGAAGACATGGAGTCTCTAAAAGAGTATTTACGGTAAATGAGGTCATACATGAGGGCCCTAATCTGATAGGACAGGTGTCCTTATAAAATGACAAAGAGATCCCAAAGATTGCTCTCTCTTCTGCACACAGGAAAAGCCACAGAAGGGTCCATCAAAAAGGCAGCTGTCTTCATGCTGGGAGGACCTGGGGGGCTGAATTTGACAGCCTCTTGATCATGGATCTCCGGCCTCTTAAACTGCCAAAAAGTAATTTTTTTATTTTAAGGAAATAGGTTTATTTAGTGTACTGCAAAGAAACCAGACATGGCAGTAACAGAAGATGCCTGCTTAAATGCCTGCTCTTTTCTGGGCTGTTCTGTCCAAGCAACTGCTGTCCTTTAGACCCGAAGTGGCTCCCAAATCTCACATACCAAAGCTAGGTCCCGGCCCCTAATGCTATTGGAGGTAGTGGGACCTTTAAGAGGAGGGGCCTGAGAAGGGTCTTCAGGGCATGGCAGGGCACATCAGGATCTTCCTCTTTCTCTTTTGTGTCTTAGCCTTTAAGTGAGAGCACCGCTCTGCTGCATAGGTCTGCTGCTGGCTCAAAGCAAATGAAGACAATCATGGCTGAAAGCTCTGAAGCCGTGAGCCCGAGAACCTATCTCTATAAGCTAATTAGTTCAGATGGCTAATGATTGCCATTGAGTGACAGAAACAGCAACCAATGGCACAGGCAGCAGAGGAAGAAAGTGTCCGTGCTGGGGTTTGAATGTGCCCCCTGTGATCACCCTTTGGAAACTTAATACTCAGATTCCTAAGTTAATAGTATTTGGAGGTGAGGGATTTGTGTGATCATGGGAGTGGGGCCCTTGATGGAATTGGTGGCTTTACAAGAGGAGGAGAAGCTCTGTCTCAAGCTGTGACATCCTGCGCCACATTACACCACAGCACAAGGCCTCAGCAGACACTTGGCAGATGCCAGAGCCACACTTTTGGAACTCCAGCCCCCAGGGCTGCGAGCCAAATGAACGTCTTCATAAATTATCCAGTCTCAGGAGTTCAGTTACTGCAACACAAAATGGCCTAAGACACCTGCAAAAAATTCCTTCCCTGCACCTACCCGCCCTTAAAATGTGGTCATGTACCCCCTCACATTAAGAGGTGAAAGTCTCTACCCTCTAAATCTCTAAAGTCTTACTTTGATTAAAGAAAGGCCAAGGAACGCTCACCCACACTTTTCTGTTTGTAGTATTGTCATGGGAGCACGGAAGTGAGCCTGCTAGGTGATGAGGTGCATATGGTCCTCCCACCCTGGAGTCAACAGCCATCCATTCTTGAGATTTAAAAGCCATGGCTCAGGAGACACGTGGCTCAGGAGACATTGCCCTAAAGAAAAGTTCAGACCAAGTAAGATTATACAGAGCACCGCAATCATGTCTAGAATCTCAAAGAATTTTGAAGAAAAGAGGAATCCTCTAGAGTTTATTATCTGAGTCTATAGAGCAGTCATTTAAAGAACATAGGAAAGGTGGTGGGTAGATTATACACTACACAAATAAACCCAAAGCAGTAAAGCAACGGAAGCAGCAGCATCTGGCTGTCACATCCCGGTGGGCTGATCCCTTGGTAGGACCAACCAACATGTAGTCAAGATGAGAGGAATCAGGGATGGCTCAGTAGTCCCGGGGGGTTATGGGAGGGAGTGTGGACCTGGGGCCACTCTCCTTGGTTTATTGCCTCATTTTCTCCCTGGGTCCAAACAGACTCACCCATCTGTGCATACCTGTATGCTAACCTTCTCTTTCTATGCTGACTCCAGTCACACTGGGCTATGGCCCATCCTAATTGTCACCCAGAAAAACCCAAATCAGCCCACCAGCTCCACTGGCTCTTAGTTGACTTAAAGGTCCCTATTTGGGGGGGGGGGTGTCACACAACCGGGGACTTGCTTCCATGGAACTAACTGGACCAGTAGACCAATGTCAGTAGACCAATGTCAGCAAGCAGCTGGCCACCTGAACTGGCTGCAATTCTAAACTCTCCAGGACTGAGAGCTGTGGGCAGGGCCAGTGTCCTTCTGACCAAGAAGAATGCATTGGGAGCAGACCCTGCTGGATCAGTCCCCTCAGATGGATGTCACAGAGTAGGATGAGGGGATGAGGGTCATCCACAGAGAACCTCCTGGTACTTCAGGTAGGAGTAGAAGCGTTCATGGGTGGGTAATGAGGCCACAAGCTGAGCTCTTGATGACTTCTGAGTGGGCCGGGGCAAAAGCATCACCCAGAGATGAACAGACTCTAGATGAGGCATGGCA